TCTTGATGGTAGGCCAGTAGTAGCCTTGCAAGAGGACAGTTCTTTCCAGTGATCTTGGACCTGCGTGCGTGGCACACGTTCCTTGGTGTATTGCCTTCAAGGTCCACTTGGCCTCTTCCACCCCGAGGCACTTTAGGTAAGCGCCGGAGAATGACCTTTTAAAGAGTTGACCGTCTACCATCGAATATCGGGCCGCCTTTCGCTTGAGCGCCTTTCGCTCCACCGGGTTTTGCGGGGTGACGTCGCGCTCCAGGTATTGGATCATGGGGGTTCGCCAGTCAGCGGCTTCTTCGATGCTCATGACTTCATCTGTGGATTCACTTTCTTTGGTGACGGTGACGTGCCGGTCGCCTTCGAAATCCATGGCGGTTGCGAGCTTGGAAAGCGCGTCTGCATGTTGATTGTCCTCTCTCCGGACATGCTCTAGTTTCCACGAACTCAGCTGAGACAGGGCGTCACGGGCCTTGTTAGCTAAGACCGCTAGCGTCTCATCTTTGATCTCGAACGCCTCTAGAATCTGTTTGACGACCAGGAGGGAGTCAGAGAATATTTGCACGTCGGTTGCCCCTAGCGTGGATAATATTCGAAGCCCATTGATTAGTGCCTCGTACTCAGCGACATTGTTGGTCTTGATCTCTTTGAACCTCAGCGAGATTTCATGTACTACCCCTTCGGGAGACTCGATGACGATCCCTGCCCCAGAGGCGGTTTTCCCGGCGGCGCCGTCTACGAACAGACGCCATATTTGATTGCGCTCTTCGGGGGGAGCGGTTTCAAGGGAGAAACCTTCGGCGATGAAATCGGCCAGGACTTGCCCCTTAATGGCAGGCCTAGGGGCGTACTCGATGTCGTATTCGCTCAGCTCGATTGCCCACTTGGTCAGCCGACCTGAGGCGTCCATACCTCTCATAATGCTTTTGAGCGGGAGGTGGGATAACACCGTGATCGGGTGCTCTTGGAAGTATGGTCGCAACTTTCTCGCCGCTGAGACGACTGCGAGGACCGCCTTTTCGATGGGCAAATACCTTGTTTCGGCGGGAAGAAGCGCCTTGCTCACGTAGTAAACAAGGCGGTCAAAGCCGTCTTGTGCTCTTCTAACCAGGACGGAACTCACGGCTTGCTCGGAGACCGCCAAGTAGAGATAGAGCCGCTCTCCATTGGTGGGGGCGCTCAAAACTGGCGGTTGACTGAGCTGGTCTGTCAACAGCTGAAAGGCCTTGTCGCACTCGGCACCCCATTGGAGCCTTGATGCTGATTTCTTCAGCATCTGGAAGAAAGGAGAGCATTTGTCGGCGGACCGCGGGATGAACCTTCCGAGCGCGGCCATCTTTCCATTGAATGCCTGGATTTCTTTGATGGTTTTCGGCGGCCTCAGGGCGCGTATGGCCTCGATTTGCTTTGGGTTGGCCTCTATCCCTCGCTTTGTGATCATGAACCCCAGGAATTTTCCCGCCTCGGCGCCGAAGACGCATTTAAGCGGGTTGAGCCTCAGATTCTTCTTCCTCAGTGTTTCGAAGGTTTCCCTCAGGTCGGACAAGTGGTCACTTGCTTTCTTGCTTTTGACTAGTACGTCGTCAACGTAGGCCTCCACGTTCCGCCCCATTTGCTCCTTAAAGACCGCATCAACCATCCGCTGGTAGGTCGCCCCCGCGTTCTTCAGTCCGAAGGGCATTACTACGTAACAGAAGTTGCCCATGGGAGTCATGAAAGCGGTGAGCTCTTGATCCTCATCCGCCATTCTGATCTGGTGGTATCCGGAGAACATATCAAGGAAGCTGAGGGCTTCATGATTGGCGGTCCCGTCTATGAGCTGGTCAATGCGGGGAAGAGGATATGCGTCCTTGGGACAGGCCGCATTGAGGCTGGTGAAGTCGATGCACATTCTCCAAGCGCCTCCGGCCTTACGTACAAAGACCGGATTTGAGAGCCAAGTGGGGTACTTTACCTCTCTGATGAATCCGGCTTTGAGGAGGCGTCGCACCTCCTCTTCCAGTGCCATTTGCTTTTCGACTGACAGATGCCTCCTTCGCTGCTGTATGGGACGCGCTTTGGCTTTGACTGAGAGGCGGTGCTCGGAGACCCTTCGGGGAACTCCGGGCATGTCCTCTGGCCCCCACGCGAAGAGGTCTTGGAACTCTCTAAGGAGTGTGAGTAGTTTCTGGGCCTCCTCTTGGGCGAGGTGCGCGGAGATTCGTACTGTCCTCTCTGGTCGCTCTGCGTCGAGAGCGACCGCCACATCCCCTTCGACCGCTTCCGGCCTCGGAACGTCGCCTCTAGTGTCGACCAGATCGACTTCGAGGTGTTCGATGGTGGCTTGGTAGCACTCTCTAGCCTCTTTTAGGTTACCCCGAACACGTCCGGTTTGTCCTCCGCTTGGGAACTCAAGCATCTGGTGGCAGGTGGATGCGACCGCCTCGAACGAAGCCAGGAAGCCGCGTCCGAGAATGGCGTTATATGCCGACGGACAATCCGCCACGTGAAACTCCACGGGTCTGGTCTTTGTGATTCCTCCTTCTCCTATGGTGACTTTGAGCGTGATTGAGCCGAGGACACGGACCTTGGTGCCGGAGAACCCTACCAAGCTGGTGGTGGAAGGGTTGAGATCTTGGATGCTCTTTTTCATTCCTTTGAGCGCTGAGTAGAATAGTATGTCCGCCGAGCTCCCATTATCCACCAGGGCTCTAGTGACTTTGAACTTGGCGGTTCGGAAGGAAATGACCAAGGGGTCCTCCGAGTTTTCTTCGTTGGCCAACTCAGACGGCAGGAAGGCGACCTCGGTTGGTGCTCTCCGCTGCACGTTAAGACATTGAGCAATGCGGTCTCCTTCGGTTCTTGGGCGCTTCCGACCTCCTGCGATCGTTATGACTTCCATCCCATCATCTTCATTTCGGGGAGCTCTGTAGGGAGGAGATTGCCTCGGGGAGGCGACCTTGTTTCGAGAGCGGGACCTTGATCTTTCTTTTCTTGTGCGTCTCGTCTTGTCCTGCTCGGGACTCGGGGACTCCTCCCGCTCTTCTGCTGAGTGTTCTCTGTGTGACCGCCTCATTTCTAGCTTGCTTCTAAGGTCTCCTGGGGCCAGATGTCGGAGCGTGGCCTTGAACTCCCTACACTCCGTGGTGTCGTGGGTCGTGATTTGGTGCCAGTCACACCACTTTTTTCCTTCTTGCGGTTCTTGGGCGGAAGACGCCTCGTGCTTCCTTCCGCTTTTCCTTCGGTCTCTTCCCTTTTCCCTGTCGGTGGAGAGGACGTCTCTTCTTCCTTCTCGATCGGGGTACCTGTTCCGGTACGACCTTCGGTCTGGGGACCGCCTTCCCTTCCGGGAGTCTCCACGCTCTGAGGCGTCTCCTCGGGGACGGCTTTGCTGACCTCGGTCGTCGTTGGCTAGCGCTTCCTCCAACAAGATCGCTCGCCGTACCAGTTGGTCTAAGTCAGACCAGGCTGCCAAGGCCGCCTCCTTTTTTATCAGCGCTCTTTTCAGCTCGAGACTCGTTGTCGAGATTCGGAGGTTTACAGCGGCCACAGCTGGGGAGATACCGTCTATTTCGCAAGCTATCGTGTTCCATCGGTCGTAGAACTCAGCAAGGGACTCTTCCTTCCTTTGTCGGCAACCTATGAGTGCCGAGACGGTGAGTTTGCGACGCCGTTGAGACGCGAACTTGGTGGAGAAGAGCATCGCAAATTGCTCAAAGTTTTCTATAATCCCCTCCGGAAGGGAGGTGTACCAAGTTCGGCATTGACCGCTGAAGGTAACCGGGAACGCACAGCACAGATCCGAGTCCGTTGCGTTAATGAGTTGCATTTTTAACATGAACGCGCAAAGATGGTCGGCGGGATCGGACGTCCCACCGTAGGTTGGTAGCCCCAGAGAGGAGAAGTTTGGGGGGACCGGAGTCTTGAAGAGTTCTCTCGATAGAGGGTTTTGTAGAACGTTCGGGCTCTTGTGCTTCCCGAAGGTTGTCCGCAAATGCTCCTCTAGAAAGTTGAGGTCCGGGTCGTCGGCCTCTAGTCCTCCGCCTTCTGTCCGAGAAGGGCTGTCGAGGATGAGAGCGCCTTTCAGCTTCTCGTCGCGCGCCTTTCCCCTCGAGCCCTCGGCGGGGTCGTCTCGGGTCTTCAGGAGTTGGAGAATTTGGGAAAGGCTGTCTTGCATGCTTGCAATTTGCATCCCTTGGTTCTTGACCACTTCTTCCAACTCGGGCTCGTCTTCTACCCTCGGTGATAAGCCTCGGAGGGTGTTGTTTTCGGTCATCCCCTTGAGGGGGGTTTCGAAGTCGTCTCCCATCTCGTTCGCCACAAAGTAGTAGGGCCCCACGGTGGGCGCCAAAATGTTTGTGCCTGGAATGTGCCAAGCGGTTTGTGAGACTCTACTGGCCTTGGGCGGCTTCGATGGTCGAGGGCGGTCTCCGAAACCCTACAGAAAGGTCCTCAGGGGGTTCCTGGGACCTCCTCCGATGCCTAAGTTAGAGAGAGAAGTGAAGTATGAGTAAATAAGAGAGAGAATGAGTTGGTCGAAGTTACCATTAATGTGATCCGAGGTGGGTCTTTATACTAGCGAGGGCCGGGGATCATGGCATTTAATGCCATGTCGGGCGGTTCGGGACCGCCTGATCCCTGATCCGCCGAGACTGTCAGGTTTGTACTTCTGTCAGTCTTCGTACAAAGTGTTCAGAGGTTACCCTTCCTCTCCTGTCGGGCGGTTCTCTGAGGTCCCGTTGGGGGAATGTCGGACGTCCTTCCAGGTCAGTTGCCTCGAGGCAGACCGCCCCTCGCGTCCATTTGGGCTGGACTTGGTTGTTTGGTGGGCTTCTAGGCGAGTCATGGGCTTGGGGCCCATAAGTCTTAACCGCTGGCCTAACAGATACCTTTATATATTTTATAAATAGGTCCAAACTTTTAATATTTTTCAAATCACTAGTTGAAATATATTTGAAGATCACAAGTAATACACCAAACATGTGTTTGGAAATCACCCCATGAATTTGATACAAATTCAAATGTCAAATGTTATTAATATCCAAGCACATGATTTGACATTTAGAAATCCAAATATCAAATACTAAACCCAAATCATTCTTTCCAAACCCACCCACCCAAGTGTATTATGTAATTCTAATCTGAAATCTCAGACCGAAGAGGAAAAACTACAGCAGCATTTAATAAAGTTATTATGACATCGCTAATGCCAATCAATTTATACAACTATGAACAAATACAACATCATTCCGAGTTAACAAAAAACAAGATCTCCCAGAAGAGAGTTCGTATAAAGATGCACTCGAATCATACAGGCAAACTACAAACTCTACCCCACAAGGTTCGTGCTTGTTCATGTGGGCGGTAGAGGGGAACGAACTATCACGTTACGTCAATTGTCCCAACCAGAGGGTCTCCGCCGTTCTCTGCCTTTGCTTCTCGAACTGCAAGTGTGGAGGAACATCAAACATGATGGTTAATAACTTGAATCAAGTTTCGCAACCTATTGATTTATCGTAATTAAGCTACTAAATTACCTTTCTGGTGTTTTTTGACTGGTATTTCCTGATGAGTTCTGACTTCTGTTTGCATCTCCGGTAATTGAACCAGCAGAGGCAAATCCAGATAATGTGCTACTACTGGGTGTCTGAATTCGATTTGCATCACCTCCTATTGAACCACCTGAGACGAACCCGCGTAATGCAGGCCTTGTGCTGGGAACATGACTTGGACCATGATTGTTGTTATTAAATCCCTGGTTTTGAGAATTCGACGAAGCAGCGACAAAGTTGCTCTTGAACTGTCCCATCATCCCTGTCCGGATCGAATTGACAGCTGCTGATCTACCGGGTCTATCCTGAGACGAGGACCAACTAGAATCAGGAGAGTAGCCGATTCCCAGACCAAAATCCACGCCGCGGACTCCTCGATTACCTCCACCGCCCCTGCCTTTGCCCTTCTTACCACCTGCAGGTGAGATTTGACCACTTAAATGTCAACAGACTTATAAACTAAAACCCATTTTGTTGATGGAAGTCAATTGCAATTTGGAGGATGAAGAAAATCATGGACTCGCTAAAATTGTAAAGCATATGTCAACTACAATATTAGCGAAAAAAAGCATACCTCCCTTTCTTGCATCTCGTTTGGACCTGAATCTTCCATCCTAATGAGTTACATGGTAAATGTTACTCTATGTCTTAAGAGAATTGGAGTGGAGAAAATGAATCAAATGCATTGCCAATGAAGTTATCTAGTAGCTAACATAGAAGTGAAACTGAACAAAACCAAGATGGGAATGAGGTGCAGCATTTCACCGGAAACAAAATTAGGGTACATCATAACTAGCAAAGTAACTATCATGGATTCAAACAATAGATGAGGCACTTGAGTGATTGTCAACCATAGAGGTTTTTTAAAGACTGCTATATATGCCATTATGGGGAAAGAGATGATACTAGCCAGAGATCATTTAAGGTTGTAGTAATTGCAATGGAAACCAGGAACTTTGAAGAGATGCCTCACAACTATCAGAACAAGTATCGCTATAGTTCAGATGTTCTAGTGATATGCTAACCCATTATGCTCCATAAAAACCATTGTTTTATCCAAAATCCCTTAGATCACAAAGCATAGAAGCAACACAGTAGCAAGTATGCATGAACCCACTGTCTTTCATGCTACAATCTGACTTGCAAAGACATGAAATTAAGAACTTATGGATGATTATGTTCACGCAAGTCTAGATGGGACAACCACTGCAAAGAATATGACACTAAGGACCGTACTAATAGGTTAAAACCTAGCAACTAAGAAGTACCTAGTTATAGTCATAGCATGACAAAAGCTAAAAGATTTAAGCTTGTACGAACAAACATTATGAGTATGAACAATAACATAACCAGAGAGCTTAGATACCTTCATAGCAAGATCCATAAGTTCAGCAGAGACATTTTGACCAGCAGCAACCAAACTGTTGACCAACTCCCCTGCAAATCGTGCCTCTTTCTGAGTGATAAGAGTATAAGCAATTCCATCCTTGTCACCAGCACGACCAGTCCTACCAATACGATGCACATGCATGTCCATGTCTTTGGCAATATCGAAATTGACAACCGACTTGATCGATTTAATATCGAGCCCACGAGCAGCCACATCAGTTGCAATAAGGACATGGTAAACACCCGATTTAAATTTCTGCAAGATCTCCATCCTTGAAGCCTGATCTTTGTCACCATGAAGGGATGCAACTTTGAACCCCTTCTGAACCAACTGCGACTCTATCTCGTCAACCATGGCCTTTTTTGAGGCAAACACTAGAACATCTCCATCATCAATCATTGGAGGTAACTTCTCGAGAAGCCAGGGAAGCTTATCTGCATCAGATGGAATAACTTGGACTACTTGAGTAATATCCTCATTGGCCATCCCAACCTCCCCCACAGTAACTCTGACAGGGTCAGAAAGAATCTCTCTGGCCAGCTTCTCAACTTTGTAAGGCATGGTAGCTGAAAAGAGTAGAGTCTGCCTATCTGGCCTAATCTGACCAACAATAGACCTTATTTGAGGCTCAAATCCAAGGTCAAACATCCTGTCTGCCTCATCAAGTACCAAGCAAGTCCCTCTAGACATGTTCACCGCTTTCATTTTAATCATGTCTATTAATCTACCTGGAGTAGCAACAACTATTTCACAACCAGCTTTCAGTTCTTTGAACTGCTCAAGCTTAGACATTCCACCATAGACAGCAGAGACTCGCAACCCATATGGTTTAGCAAATTTCTTTGCCTCCAAGTATATCTGGTGAGCTAACTCCCTAGTAGGTGCACATATTACTCCAATTGGCCCTTCTTCTTTCTGAAGCTCAGGTTGATCCATAATATGTACAATCATGGGAAGTACAAAAGCAGCAGTCTTACCAGAACCAGTTTTCGCAATCCCGATTATGTCTCTCCCAGACAGGACTATTGGGAAAGCTTGCCGTTGAATGGGCGTTGGGTTTTCATATCCTTGTTTGGTAATAGCACCCATAAGCTGTGCTGAAAATCCACAATCTTCGAACGTCTTAACTGGCCTGGGAACATCAAAACCTGAAACTCGTATAGCCAGAGTGTTCCTATACTCAGCTACCTCCTGCTCGCTCATCCCTGAAAACAAAGCACAATAGCAAGTCGAAGTTAACAAAGCAGAACACTTTCCTGCAAAATCATTTCAACTGTCCATCGCAACAAGACCCACCAACCTGCTATGGACTGGTTTTCCTCATAGAAATCCTTGTTAAAGGGTTCGTAATCTACGGAAGTATGGTCCAAAGCTGCAATGGGCTCAATCTTCTTCCTGTCAACCACCACCGGATTATCATCCGAATCATAATCCAGCAATCCTGCATCCACAGCTTTCGCCGCAGCATAAACCTCCTCATCCGAATTGTATCCAGCATTAAGAGCATCCGCCGCCAACGTCAACCCGACATCTTTCTTCGCCCTCAGGAAGCTCTCCATGGGGTCATCTTCCTCGTCATCCCTATACTTATCCACCTTTTCCTTAGGCTTCGGTGGGGGCGCTGCTTTCATCTCTTCGTGTATACCTTCCATGAAAGCATCCAGAGGGTCGATTTCTTCCTCGTCGACGGCGCCGTTTTTGTTGTCGTCATCGCCGGCCGCATCCTTGGGGGCGTTTTCATTCTCGTCGTGATCGATGTCGTCCAGGTCCGTGTCTTCGTAGTTGTCATGGCTGTGGCGAGAGGAAGGCGGGACGTAGAGCCGCTGTGGAGCTTGAGATTGCTCGAAGTTGTAGCTCGATTGACGGTTGATGCCGAATCCTTCGAATCCGAATTTCCTCTTGGACATGGTTTCCCGAGATTACTCCGACGCTGGAATGAGATCTTGAATTGATCAAGTAGCTGCGCCAGGTGCGAATAAACCCTAATTGACGGGAAGTGGAGTTGAAGCGCTGATGAATTTTGATTTTCAGCTCTCAAACGGACAGGTCAGTGACGGTGATTCGGATACTGAATTCGATCCGGATCCGGATCCGGCAACTGAGCGTCCGCTATCGATAAGGTGCGTCGTCGGTTTGGGATTTGGGTACGGTTAGGCCCATTCCTTTTTCGCAGACCTGGACCTATTGTTTAGCCCAGGAATAAGGCAGACTGAGGCCCACTCATCACCAATTTGTCCGTCCGAAAGCGCAAAATTCCGTCGCTGCTGCCGCCGGCCAGCCGCAGTCTATAGAAGGATTTTCGTTTGAATCTCCTGTTGGCCCAGCCCATCACTTGCGGTTGGCGGGGATGAAAGCAATAGGATTGTTGCAGTAGGAGGAAGTAATTGGGTACAGGGGTACGGTTTTGCAGAGATCTGGCGAACGGAAAACCGTTTGAAGATACAACAAGTGATTAGGAGGACTACTAGGCCGCCAGAGGAGGAATTGGTCAATAGAAGCCATTCACCGCCCAAAGGTTCAATTTTTAGGGTGCTTTGCCCATGTTTTTATGGCGGCCGGAGACCAACTCTAGGCTAGACTAGATCAGAGCGATGAGTTGCTCTATCTGGTGCACTGTTATATTCACTAGTTATCAACCCGCGTTCTGCGCTGGGAGGCGTAAAATGTAAGGTATTATTTGTAACCTTTAAAATGTAAGGCATTATTTATAATCTGCGATTCTAAATATTGTATTCTCAATACATTTTTTCAGTTGATGTAGGTAGGCAATGCAAGTAGTAAAAATGCTTGATTTAGAATACACTGTGCCGAAGAGAACGTTAGAACGAAACAGAAGTTAGCTAGTGAAACTGGATCACAAATGAGGAAAAAATCCAAAAGTACCACTGTTTAGAAAAAAATTTCCAAAAATACCACCCAACCCCAAAAAATTCCAAAAATACCACCCTTTTTCAAAAACCGCCACCCCACCCAGCGGTTTGGTCGAAAACCGCTTGTCGGGGGCGCGGTTTTGGACCAAGCCGCGGGCCTAGGGGGCGGTTATAAAAAAAAAAAAAAAATTGGACCAAAACCACTGGGTGGGGTGGCGGTTTGGCCCAAAACCGCCACCCCAACCAGCGGTTTGGTCCAAAAGTTCGGTCGAAACTTCAAACGAACGTAACTTTGCACTCGGGTATCCGATCGTAGCGATTTTTTTTTCATTTCGCATAACTTTTCAAGATCTACAACTTTTACTAGGATGAAATTTTCAAAACAGGAACTATTTGTGGATATACGGGACCTTGAGAATAACTTTACCTTTACTTTTCAGAAATCCATGTACATTTTGAAATTATGATTATATTAAAAGTTGTAGATCTTGAAAAGTTATGCGGAATCAAAAAAAAGTTCATAACAGCGGTTTTGGTCCAAATTTTTTTTTCTTTATAACCGCCCCCTAGGCCCGCGGTTTGGTTCAAAACCGCGCCCCCGACAAGCGGTTTTCGACCAAACCGCTGGATGGAGTGGCGGTTTTTGAAAAAGGGTGGTATTTTTGGAATTTTTTGGGATTGAGTGGTATTTTTGGAATTTTTCTTTTAAACAGTGGTACTTTTGGATTTTTTCCCACAAATGAGAGAGAAAGAGTTCATTTCCTTGTCATTCTCTCCCACTGCCAACAATGTCCAACAGCAAACCATTTCAATGGCAAAGGTGCAGGTTTTCTAGGAAAAAACAAACACGGAGATTAGTTATGGCATCTATACCTGGATACAAAGCATAAGCAATACTTAAATCAATACACAGTTTTTCAAGCCTTCAAACACCAAAATAGCAATGCAGGTCCAGCACAAACATCAAGTAGAAAGAAGAAAAAAAAGAGCAAATAGCAAATGCGGCTAAAGCTTGAGTACCCTTTCCATAAGCTCCAAGATTTATCAAAAAGGCTTCATCAGGAACAATTACATGAAATAAAACACATCAAAAGAATATGCATAAACTTCAATTGATAATTGCCCATAACCAAACTAATCAAAACCTGAAAGATGGATATGACTACAAACTACATGGCTGGTTCTTACAAAACAAATCCAGATTTGCAGCAAAACAACCAGCAACCTCCATAAGATGAGAAAGAAAGCAACATGCCACAGTTTATGATCCTAAGCACTCTCAAATGCCCTCTATTTCGTTCATCTCACGGAGAGCAGAACAGCAGTGGCAACAACAATCACAAAATATCGCCCTTGATTAAAGAAAATGGGGCCAAATTGATGACCAACAACGAAAGCATGGTTGAGCAAATGAGGGGGAAAATGATTGAAAGCATAAACAAAAACCAAGGTTTCAAAGCTATAAGATATAGTAGAAGTGATTTACAGGGTTGGTGCCAGTTCAGTTCACGAAAGTTCCAGTCTTCCAGAGATTACACCTATTTTCAACTCTGCAACCCAGGATCGATCTCAAATGCAAAACAAATGTTTATCTCTAAAAGTAAACATTGGGACGGAAAACAGGGTAGAGGAACAATCTAAGTGTTTCTCAGTGTCACCATTCACCTCTTCAACCAAAGGAAATTGGGATAATAACATGTCTCACCCTCTACACCTCTTCAAAACAGCCACTTCGTCAAACTTGAGCTCGTCTAATCTCCCTTTTATTCACCAGACTTAAACACATATATCTTCCATTCACTGCTCTACCATCAAGACTTGCCAACGTCAAAGACCTGCAGCTAACCAACATACCTTATAGAGGAGAAATAATACCCAATGAACTGAAAGGAAGAGAGCAAGAATCGGCAGCTGAAATAAAATCACCAACACAAAGACCGCATGTCCCGGTCAATTTGTGTAGTAAGGAAGCTTCGAGATTCAAGCGATTCATCAGGCATAGAACAAACAACTAACCAATTGCAGTCATCTGCCCTGCAGTAGGAAGAGAGATAAGTCCAAATTAACCAAGACAAAGGTGAGGGAGCAAAAATAGGAAAACAACGCCGACTGGAAATAACCTGGTCTAACCGCCTTTTCGCTGGAATTCGATGAACACCTCTTTGACAATTAACATGTTGCCATCTCCCCTGAAAAGCCACACAAATCATTTAAAGGATGAAAGAGAGAGCTAACTCTCTGAGAACAGAGCCTCTAAAAATGTTCATCAAAGACAGAGAGAACAGAGCCATTGGGTATGGATCTCCTTTGAATCGTCACTCAACTGTATCAAAGAGACTGAGAGATCAGGCAGGTCCTCGAGTCGAGGGGCAATATGAAGCCTTCTCATCTTTTTTGCTGGCATCGCCGGTCCTCATTGCGTGCAATGAATTAGAATGAAAACAAAAATCAAAACCATAATAGTCTCCATATCAGAACACAAAGATATAAATACCTGAGGGAAGAGATTCAGCGTTAATAGATTTGCTCCACAGAAAACAAAAAAGAGAATGCAAGAAAGCTCACCCGGAGCCCTCTTCTTCGAGGCTTCCCTGCCTTACTTTACGATCTTCAACTCTGTGTAGCTACAATATCCGTTTCCCATAAGTGAATTGATTGTAGCAAACCGAAATCCACCCATCTCCAATTGCCATCGTGCTAAATCTGTTGACAAAACGGCACGGTTTTCTGCCCACAAAGCACTACGACGACGTTTCGCTTCTCTTCCTCCCTCACTCTAAAAATGACACCGTTTTATCAAAGGAATCATCCTTCAAAGTCAACACTGGACTCCTCGATTGCTGATCTCTCAGATCATCCCTCTCGATCGACTTCCTTCTCACGACAGCTCCAGCTTTTCTACAATCCGCTCCACCTCGCACCGGCACTATGAGAAAGCATGATGAAGGCTATAGGAAGGCTCTTCTCTAGGCAACGGTCTCCCCTTGATCTCGGTATAAATTGTAAGCTCTCTGGTTATTTGAATGGTGTACTTCGATAGGAAATTGTGAGAACTTCTGGGTTTGAATCTCTTTCAATTTGGATCGAAGGGTGAGATCACTTTAGTAGATAGAATCACAGTGTATGGGATTGTACTGGGTGATTCAATCTTGGGAAGTGAGTGTTTTGAGTGTTTTTTCTGTTCGAAAGAGCCAAGTAACTTGGCTTGGCTAAGTCTCGTTGTACTGAATTTGCCATTTGAATAAAAGCTTCGTTTCAGTTCAATTTCAAGAGAGTCATCAAACACAATCTATTCTTGACTCTCGATCACCACATCTCATACTCTGAGTTTTCAATTGGTATCAGAGCAGGCTCTTTGAAGGACTCACTGTCGCCAAAGAGAAGATCCCAAGATGTCTGGATCATCCTCAAACGGTGTTGCATACTCTGCGAATACAAACCCTCCATGGTTTGATGGGACAGACTATACAGTCTGGAAGAAAAGGATGAGGATCTACCTGAGTGGAGTGGATGGAGAACTGTGGGCTGTTGTAAGAAAGGGACCAGTACCTGTGGATGATGAGGATGAAGAAGACTGGAAGGAAGATCAGAAGGTCTCCTCCCAACTCGACTCAAGAGCCATGCATATCCTGTTCTCTGCCTTGTGTCCAGAGGAAAGAAGCCAAGTTGCTCAATGTGAATCAGCAAAGGAAATCTGGGAGTCTCTTCAGACTACCCATGAAGGTACGTCTGAGGTTAAAGAAAGTAGGATAGATGTATTAATAAATGAATATGAATCATTTGAAATGAGTTCAGGAGAATCAATCTCTAGTATGTACAAAAGATTCAATGACTTGATCAACAGATTAAAAGGATTAGGGAAAGTCTTTGAAACCAAGGATTTAGTCAGAAAAATACTAAGGTGTTTACCTAGAGAATGGTTGCCTAAACGTACTGCAATCGAAGAGGCTAAAGATTTAAAAGTCCTATCCATAGAAAGATTAATAGGGTCACTACTAAGTCATGAGGAAGTCATAATACAAATGAACAAAGATGATCATAGGAAAAGAAAAGTCATAGCTTTTAAAGCACAAGAACGTGATAGTGACTCTGAAATTGATATGGGAGAGGAATTTGAGAAAGAATTTGCCATGATAAGTAGGAAATTTCATCGAATGCTCAAAATGAAAAAGGATTTTCAGGCAAGAAGGTCATTTCATGATTCGAGAGGATTTAACAATAACTCTTATGATTATAAAAGAGATAGGGAAGAAACCGAGAGAACTCCTAGAACAAATGAAAAATATGCATCAAACAGGAGTTATTTTGATAAAAATTCATCGAAATCTTATGATAGACCTCCTGAAAGTCGAGAAAGGTTCAGATTTGATAAGGAAGACGCCAGGTCTTCCAATGAGAAAGATTTGACCATTTGTTTTAAGTGTGGAAAATCAGGGCACATGAGATCAAAGTGTCCTACTAGAGCAAAAGAAAAGGCACTTGCAGCTTCATGGAGTGACTTTAGTTCAGAAGAAGAGCAAGATGTAAAAAATCCGGCGTACATGGCATTTGCCACCAGAGATGAAAGTGATAATCAGTCTTCATACAGTCACAGTCCACTAATGCCTTCATGCTACCAGGTAATCTCTGACTCAGACTCAAATATAACCGAAACTAAAACTGAGTTTCTGCATGAGTTGACTAATTTCCAAGAGGAGTGTAACAGACTCAAAAGTAAATATTGTATGCTTATGACTGATAATCAAGCCCAAAAAGATGAAATTGCTATGTTAAAAAGAACCTTGAATGCTCAAAGCGATTGGAATAAGGAGCTGAACAGACAAGTCTTTGATCTCAAGGATGAGAATCAGAGGCTAAGAGGTATCTGGAAAAACAACAGTACCTCCTTAAAACGGGAATCTGGCATGATTAATTCAAGAAATCCATTTCAAAACAGAATCACCATGCATAATCATGAAAAGTACAGAAAGAATACAAGATATCCTGTAGTTTTTACCTGTTCTTATTGCAAAAGAAAAGGACATGTAGCAAAATTTTGCTATGATTTAAATCCCAAAAAAATAAGTGTATCCAAAACATTTGGGGTACCAAAATGTACTAATCTCTGACTGATTGCAGAATATGGGAGAAAATGAGAACACATGGTATCTTGATAGTGGTTGCTCCCACCACATGACAGGTAAAAAGGAACTCTTTTCTTCCTTAAGCTATAAAAAAGGAGGTAAGGTTGTGCTTGGTGATGATCGTGTAGGAATCATTATGGGAAATGGAACAATTGGTAAAAGTCCTCTTCCCACTATTAAAGATGTGTTGTTTGTTCAAGGTCTTAAGCATAATCTTCTATCTATTAGTCAATTGTGCAACTCTGAAAATAGAGTTGTGTTTGAGTCATCCTCGTGTGAAATCGTCAGAATTAAGGACAACAAGTTGTTGTTCAGTGGAACTAAGAAAGATAATATGTATGTGGTCGATTTAAACTGTTTAAGCTCATTTAATGAAACATGTTTTCAAGCCAAACAATGTGATCTGGAAATGTTATGGCATAGGAAGCTAGGTCATATAAGTCTTTCCAGATTATCACAACTTTCTAAATCAAAATCAGCTCGTGCAATTCCTTTGTTAAAAGAAAATTCAAATTTTTTCTGTGATGCGTGTGTTGGAGGAAAACTGGTTAAGAAGAGTTTTAAACCAAAAAGGGACATCACTACCTCAGAACCATATGAGCTGATTCATATGGATCTCTTTGGACCAACTAATGTGATGAGTTTAGGAGGTAAGTCTTATGCTCTTGTCTTAGTAGATGACTTCTCTAGGTATACTTGGGTTTATCTCCTTGCATCAAAAGATGAAGCTTTTTGTTGTTTCAAGAACTTTGTAAATCTCATACTGAATTAATCCAAAAATGGCATTAAAACCATTAGAAGTGATAATGGAGGAGAGTTCATTTCGGAACAGTTTAGTGATCTGTGTAATGACAGAGGAATTAACCACACTTTTTCAGCCCCTAGAACACCACAACAAAATGGTGTAGTTGAAAGAAAGAATAGAACTATTATTGAGACTGCAAGAACTATGTTACTCGAGTATGGAACACCCAAGTTTCTCTGGGGGGGAAGCAGTCATGACTGCTGTGTATGTAATAAATAGAGTGTTAATCAAAAAAATTATTAATAAAACACCTTATGAGATTATAAAGCAAAAAACGCCAAATCTGGGGTACTTTCATCCTTTTGGATGCAAATATTTTATTTTAAATACCAAAGATCACTTGTATAAATTTGATTCAAAATCAGATCAAGGTATATTTCTGGGATACTCTCTTAAAGGACAGGCATAGAAAATCTATAATCTCAGGTCCAAAAAGGTCGAGGAATCTGTATTTGTTAAGTTTGATGAATCTGGAAATACTAACAAGGTTTCTGCAGAGAGTATAGATCTACTATTTCCTGTATCAAATGAAGAAGAAAAGCATGAAGATCACTGTGAAGATTACCCACAAGAATCAATTAAAAAGAACTCTGGTGAGACAGTGAATGAAGAGAAAATTGAAGAAGAAAGGCAAGCACCACCACACATTCAGAAGAGACATCCCCCTTCACAAATCATTGGACAACTTAATGCTGGGATTCACACCAGAGGTAAGTACCATCCAGGTCAGTATGCTTTTGTTTCAATGTTAGAACCAAGAAATTACAAAGAAGCTTTACTAGATGATAAATGGTTGGATGCTATGCAAGAGGAACTTGTACAGTTTGCTAGGTTACAAGTATGGGAACTTGTTCCTCGCCCTCTTAATAAACTAATCATAGGCACAAAATGGGTTTTTAGAAACAAAACAAATGAAGAAGGGGAAGTCACTAAAAACAAAGCCAGACTTGTTGCTCAAGGATACTTGCAAGAAGAGGGAATTGATTTTGAGGAATCATTTGCCCCTGTTGCAAGGATCGAATCAATTAGAATGTTATGTGCGTATGCATGTTTTATGAAAATTCCCTTATACCAAATGGACGTAAAAAGTGCATTTTTAAATGGAGAATTAAGAGAAGAAGTGTACGTGAGTCAGCCACCAGGCTTTATTGATCACAAATATCCTGACCATGTGTACAAACTATCTAAAGCTTTATATGGATTAAAGCAAGCCCCTAGAGCATGGTATGAAAAACTCTCCTCATTCCTAAAAACAGAAGGGTTCACTCAAGGAAATGTTGATAAAACACTTTTTATTAAGAAAGAAAATGGTGATACACTAATTGTGCAAATCTACGTAGATGACATAGTTTTTGGATCTACAAATCCATCTATGAGCACTAAGTTCTGTAACTTAATGAAATCTGAGTTTGAGATGAGCATGATGGGTGAGTTATCTCACTTTCTGGGGTTGCAAATTAAGCAATTAGACTCAGGGATATTTATTAGTCAGACCAATTACACTGAATCAATGCTTAAGAAATTTGACATGTGCTCGGTGAATCCTAGTACTACTCCTATGGCAACAAATTTGAAACTAGACAAGGATGAGGGAGGTATTCCATTCTGTGAAAGGAAATACAGAGGAATGATAGGTTCCCTCTTGTACTTAACAGCAAGTCGACCTGATATCCAATTCAGTGTAGGCTTGTGTGCACGTTTTCAATCTAAACCTAAAGAAAGTCACTTCAAAGCTGTTAAAAGGATCTTTAGGTATCTGAAGGGAACCATGGATATTGGACTATGGTACCCTGTAACCGATTCATTTGAATTAATCGGGTATAGTGACTCAAACTTTGGGGGAAGTCTAGTAGATAGAAAAAGCACAACAGGAACAATTCAACTACTTGGCTCGTCACTTGTGTCTTGGTTTAGTAAAAAGCAAGGTGCAGTAGCACTCTCCACAGCCGAGGCAGAATATATGGCTGCTGGAAGTTGCTGTGCACAAATAATGTGGATGAAAGCTCAACTCTCAGACTATGGGTTTAAATTAAACAATATTCAAGTATGTTGTGACAACACAAGCACGATAAGTATGACAAAAAATCCTGTTCAACATTCTAGAACTAAACACATTGAAATTAAGTATCATTTTATCAGGGAGCTTGTACAGGCTGGTCACATCGAACTTCAATTTGTTGAAACTGAATATCAAATAGCTGATTTACTAACAAAACCCTTGGCAAGTGAAAGATTTCTCCAACTTTGCACAGAAATAGGATTAAGATCCTTGAGCCGAATTGAAGATCTTTTAAAATAAACATCTCATTGTTTTTCCATATTACATGCATTGGTGCAGAAAGTAATGATTACAAACCTCTAAACCAAAGATCTAATCTTCAGCAAGCGGATTGGGTCTTTTATTCAAAGTACCTTTTGCGTGTCTTGATTTAACCAAAATAAAACGCTCCATTTCGGCTCATGCCTGCCTCGACTAATACAACCCTGCCATAGCTTAATCATTCACTCTAACAAATGCATGCGGAGACTCTTCACCTTCCATCCCTTTTCTACCTCGTTTTTCTCTATAAAAGGCCACAGTAGACATCTCTTCTTCTCACACTGTTTCTAAACACATCCATCTACCATCTTGTTTCCACAAAATATCCAGTCTCCCCACAAAATGAGTGATCACCTTCCTCGACCCTTCCACTTTGATGGTCTGGTACACACATTCTCTGGCTACATGTTCCATGAGCCTTTGGTTGTCAACCATCATCGCTACCTTCAGCACTTTGATAAGCGGAGGCTCCATCATACCACTCAGCTTGACCCCTATGAATTCAACCTCTACAAGTATGACATTGTGTCACTCATTGAAGGTCTTGGTTGGGATTTTCTTCTTCGCCAACCAGTGCACCCTGCTTGTCCTGGTGCGGTCAAATACTTCTACTCAAATCTCAAAAGTCCAGGGATCAGCACTAGAAATTTCACCACTCTGGTATATGGTCATCTCTTGACCATACCAGCTGATGCTCTGAATGGCATCTTAGGCTTTCCATCGCAAGGGCTTGGCATTGCTCATCCTTCTGAATTTTGGAAGCATGAGTTCAAAGTTGAGGTGGAATATGGAAACTTCTCAACTGAGCCAACTGGAGGGTCAGACATTCCTATCCCTGTATCCTGGCTGCCCCCAAGGCTGAGGATCTTTCATCATTTCCTCACTCATGTCCTCTTTCCCCGATCTTTCAACCAAGACCGAGTCCTTCACATGGACTTATGGATTATCGCTAGTGCTACTGCTCGACGAAAGCTGGATTATTCGAGTATTGTGTTTGGACAACTTCTTCCTGTTGGGGATGACAATTACAGAGAATTAGTACCATTTGGGTCGCTAATCACTCGCTTACTGATCAACCTTGGAGTAGATCTTTCTGAATTCAGGAGTGTCTCTTCCACTATGTACATCAGTGCACTCAATGTACTGATGGTACTGGATCTTCCCACTGACATCTCTCCCCCTCCTCATCCTTCTACTTCTCTCCTCGGGCCTCCTCCTAAGCCCTCTGCTGTCAAGAAAACCAAGTCAGTGGGTGAACCAAGCAAAACTGGGGATTTGGTCTTCACCATTTCTGAAGGAGACTCTTCCTCAGATGAATCTGCTGCCACTGCTCCTGCTTCCTCTCCTGCCTCTTAATTCTCTACCTGTTTCTCTGTTGTTTAATATATCCTGTTGGTAGGATATGTTTCTTTAAGTTAGGATGTTCCTTGTTCTAGTTTTTGTTCTGATATTTTGTTCTGCTGGTCCTCTTCCAGGACGCAGTCATGCTGTACTTTTGCTTTCCTATGAATGAATTCCTCTTTTCTCTGGATCGCTTGTGCTGCTGTTTTCTGGTGTTGTTTTTGTTTTTGCAGGAGACTTCTCGGATGAAGGGGGAAATTGTTGACAAAACGACACGGTTTTCTGCCCACAAAGCACTACGACGACGTTTCGCTTCTCTTCCTCCCTCACTCTAAAAATGACACCGTTTTATCAAAGGAATCATCCTTCAAAGTCAACACTGGACTCCTCGATTGCTGATCTCTCAGATCATCCCTCTCGATCGACTTCCTTCTCACGACAGCTCCAGCTTTTCTGCAATCCGCTCCACCTCGCACCGGCACTATGAGAAAGCATGATGAAGGCTATAGGAAGGCTCTTCTCTAGGCAACGGTCTCCCATTGATCTCGGTATAAATTGTAAGCTCTCTGGTTATTTGAATGGTGTACTTCGATAGGAAATTGTGAGAACTTCTGGGTTTGAATCTCTTTCAATTTGGATCGAAGGGTGAGATCACTTTAGTAGATAGAATCACAGTGTATGGGATTGTACTGGGTGATTCAATCTTGGGAAGTGAGTGTTTTGAGTGTTTTTTCTGTTCGAAAGAGCCAAGTCACTTGGCTTGGCTAAGTCTCGTTGTACTGAATTTGCCATTTGAATAAAAGCTTCGTTTCAGTTCAATTTCTAGAGAGTCATCAAACACAATCTGTTCTTGACTCTCGATCACCACATCTCATACTCTTGAGTTTTCAAAATCTCTGCTGAGAAGTAATAAAAGTAAACCCTTTCTATAAATGAACCAATAAAAAGAACAAAAAAATCACGAACTACAGAGAGAAGGTAGGAAAAAACTGGAATAGCACATGTGGATCTAGGGATTCTTCTAATCTTCTCCCTCGTGTTTTCCCCGCAGAGTCGAATTCGTCGGAGAAGATGTATCAATTTTATGGGTGAACTTGACCCACCGCCTCTCATCCGACCTTGGCATCACCACAGTAGTCATCTCTTTTCTCCATCGTTGCTGCCTGTCCTCAAATCCCGCCTCAAATCCAGCCTTCCTGCTCCTTATCAGTGTTGTCGCCTCACTGTAGAGGTTCCTCATGAACCAAAGAATTCAACGATATTCTCGCAGCTGAAATAGCAAAATAGAGCAAATCCGTTAAAGCGAATACAATCCAGGAGATTGATGAGGCACGACCAAAACCCAGAAAGAAAATACGAACTGATTGCTTACCGACGAAATATTGCAAGGAACCCTTTCTTAATTGACCTTTTCTCCGCTTAGATCATATGGATTTGATTCACCTAGCGAGCAGATAAACTGGAAGAATCCTCTACCATGGACAGAGAGAAAAGTAATTGAATCCATCTATCACCTGGTCATGGTGGAACTCCAAATCCCGCTGAAAGCAAACCTCGTCGGCCAAATCTCCTCCAAAAAAGTCACCAAACAAAGCAGAGTTGGAAAAACCCCATAAAAGAGTAGAGTGTGGGGGGGGGGGGGATTAGAGAGGAAGGCACAGAGAGAGCAAATAATCACCTGAAATCAAAACAGAAGGCGCAGATCTGGCTCTTGTCCAAACGCTCACCAGATCCCCCAGTGGCCCTCTGATCGAACCGGCGGAATTGAGAGAAGAGACTAACATCGTGGTTCACACCTGCCCTTCTCTTCGTCCAAAGAAATTAGATACAGAGGAATAGGGTCGGCGTCGATCGAAGCGTCTGACGGAGCTCCTTCTTCGGCAAGCTGGCTGCTTCATCGCGGATTTTGGAGATTCTGACGGTCACAAAGAGAGCAAGAGAGAAGGAGAAGATGGTGAGAAGAGGTCAGAGAAGGAGAAGAATTGGGAAAAATGGCTGTTTGAAGCGAAATAGGTTAGAGAAGGTCAGAGAAAACAGAGTGAGCAAGAGAGAGAAGGTGAAAAGGAAGAGTGGTTTCAGATCTCTCCTCTCGACTAATTGATCGGGAAAAGGCTTCCTCTTGCTTCCTGACATCTCGAGACCTTCACCCTCTTTTTTCCAGCAAGGTTGAGTCACCATCCTCAGTCTCGCGCCGCTTCATTGGGCACTGCGCCTGTAACTTCTTTGCGATGGATACACTCCTCCCAAACAGCAACCTTATCTCCTCACAGTGGTGGTGAAGTTCCCAAAAAATCTCGGGCATAGGGAATCACATGCCATTTGAAGGAGGGAAGGATCAAGAGAGAAAAAGTGAATATGAAGGGGGATTTGAGGGCAATGCGGCACTCACAGAAACAACGGTGGGACCCAGACACAAGTAACCAACCAATAAGAAAAGGCGGCCGGGACCCAATCGCAGAGCATGAACCAATCATACGGAGGTGAACAGTAAAATTGAGTCTAAAATAGTAATTTTGTGTCTAGGCGAACAGTAGATCATGTATTTGCAAATAACTTTTTCAATTTTTGTTTTGTTTCTTTTAGTTTCGGGAAGTCACTCTGTAGTACCTAGCAAATGGTTTTAAGTTCTAGGGCGAAACAAAATTGGATGGATGGAAAATAAACGAGTGTATAGGATGACTTGGTTAATAATTAAGGTTGATGATGTTCTACTTCTTTTATTAGTCAATTGACATTCTTTTTCACTCAAACGCAGTGGTTACTGGCTTACTGCGAGTGACGTAGTTAGGATTATATTCAAGAGGGTGACATAAAAAAATTATATACTTGTGCTTTACATTGTGTAATTATTCTATAACTATGTGGATCGGCCAAACTATCAAGATTTCATACTTAATATAACCTACTGAATAACCATTCACAATTTTAATTCACTAGATGCGAAGGCTGATAAATCGTTTCATAGCATAAAATGTTATCAACTTGTGCATTGACAGATGATAGTAGCAAATCGAATCTATTTTTCACTAGCAAATACATTGATATGAACTAATTTTCATGTAGAAATTAGTAGATGAAATTAATTTATTAGCTTGTTGTGCTTTAACGGTAGAAGATTTGACGATTGACATTGAAATTTAGGATTTAAATATCATCATTAACTAACTAATACTAATAATATTTTTTCGACAAAAAAAAATACTACTAATATTTGTGTTTTGTCCAAATCTAAGCGCCCCCTTATTACACTCTAGCTATGCCCCTTATTAACCGGTACCTTTTTCTATAATTTGGTGGTTAATTTGGATAATTGGTTTGGTTTGGTCAAATTGTTTAGCTTGTTTGGTTTAGGTGGTTTGGTTTCAGACACTCATAACCAATGAAACCAAATTAATCAGTTAAATAATTTGTCATATATCTAATATATATTATATACACGTATTATTCACCCAACCCTCAAACATTCCTCTCTTTTAGGCTCATAAAAGAAAATAAAGCTTAATATTGTTCTTATATTGTATATCTGTATTTGTAGAGTGTAGACCACAACATAAAGGGTCGGCGTGCCAATAGGGTAGCCCATTTAGTGGCTCGTAAGGCCCTCTCTCTGTACCCGGCTATGTACCGTCACTTTGATTTTCAGACCTGGCTGATCTCCAGGATGTAACTATCTTTTTGATCTACTGTATGATTACCTTTTGTCAAAAAAAAAAAAAAAAAGACCACAACATAAAGACTTCTAATTTAGTTAAAACTCATACATTATATTGGATGAAAACTTGAAAATAAGTTTTATTCATCCTATGATAATTGCTAAGAGACTAGGTCAATTCACACAAACACATTAATTCATTAACTCCATACAATTGCATATAATTTTGTTAGGTAAATACTTCTATTGACTTTAAGATAATTGTTTTAGCTTCACCTTTTTATGTTACGGTTTAACTATAACTATGTGTTGATTGTTATGTTTTTCATTATATAAATTGCGAATTAATGCATTAATCGGAGAATTTTCTCACTCAATAATGATAATATAATTTTAATTGGTAATCCTGGTTATCAATTAAATAAACCAATTAGACTTTAATTTGAATAATTTGGTTGTTGCATTAGTTTGGACGGTTTGGTTATGATATTATATTTCATGATTAATAGAATTTAAACTTATTTGAATTTCTAATTAGCATGGTAACCATTTTAACACCCTAATAATTTCACTACAAAAGGGAGTGTGATACCGGTATTGTTGGAAAATATTTTTTCTTTTATTAGTCAATTGAATTCTATGGATCACGATAAAAACCTTCTTTCTTGCTTTAAGTAGTCTATTCCTTCACATTGTCGGTGGTAACCATGGTTGTCAAACCGATTTCCTGTCGCCCGGTTCAACTGGATACAACCGATACCGGTCACCAAAATCGGCTGGAAAGAAACTGATATTTAAGTGTGGTCAAATTAGTTCAATGCCGGTCAAATCCGAAAATTCCGGCCGGTTAGACCAGCAACCGGAATTCAATGTTACACACATTATATCCAAAAATAAACACCTTTCATAAGATTTTTTTTTTTGATGGTTACCTTTCATAAGATTTGAACCAATTACCTCATGTTCATTTTATACACTTTTATTTTTAAGTATCTAATTCTTTAGTATTAGCTACCAATTCTTAGCTATAAATAATTTTGTGTGAAATAATTCTTCTAATTGCTTTTTCATGAATAATTTATTTGGAATTGAGAATTTCCATTTTTCAATTTATTTTATTAAAAAATCGCATAACTTCCATGAATACTGGTTGTACCACAGTCGGACAATTCCACTTGTAAAACCGGTACACCGACATAAACCGGTTTGACAACCTTGGTATGAAGTTATAATTATTTTAAGGGTTAATTCCCTAGTTTGGCCCGAAGTTTGGCATAAGTTACAGTTGTGACCCGACTTTTCGAATAAGACAGTTATGGCATACTTTTCAAACTATTGGACAAATGTGGCTCAAAATTTTCTTTGACCGTTAATATTGATGGTCAAACACTATTCCGCTAGTGACTCATCAAAAAGTTGCTGATGCGGCTTGCCACATCATTAAATAATATTTTTTTAATTTTGTTATTCGGTTAAAATAAAAATAAGATATAAAATTGAAGCCCTCTTATTATCCAAAATCCCCAAAGCCCATCCAAACTCTAATTTCATTTTTTTCCGCCGTCGCCACTTTGTCCTCCCCTCTCCTCCTCGCAGTCGCCACCACCGCCAAGATCCAAGCCTTGACCGCCTTCCAGCTCGCCCTCCACGACCCACTCGGTGCCCTGGATGGCTGGGACCCTTCCATCCCACTCGTCCCTTGCGATTGGCGCGGCGTCACTTGTTCTTCCTCCAGCCACTCGCCCAGCTCCGCCGCCTCAGCCTCCACTCCAACAACTTCAATGGCTCCATCCCTTCCTCCCTCTCCCGCTGCTCGCTCCTTCGCGCCGTTTATCTCCTGCACAACTTTCTCTGCGACTAGCTCCCGGCTTCCATCCTCATCAATCTCCAAATCTTCACCGTCTCTCACAATCTCCTCTCTGGGATAGTTGCTAACGGAGGAGGAAGAAAGGGGATAAAGAATGAAAGGGAAAGGTCTGCTTGTGGTGAACCATTCAACTTCCCTTTTCAGCGGCGGATACATGCATGGTTAAAATTTGGAAACACGATTATTCAACCTACGATAGTAATTTGCGTATGAGGGGAAAAAATGTTTAAGTGGTAGTGGGACAACTTTAAAATTTGGGGAAATGATGATCCAATCTCTCGTAGTTTGCGTATTGGTACAAATAATATTTAAGTAGTAGTTTATGTGATTTAAACTTGGGACACTGCCACTATTAGTTAATTTATGTTCAATTACGCTAAAAATCATTTGTTATTGTGTTTTAGATCCAAATATAATAGTAAAATGTTATTCTTATCTCAAATTATTTTCAAAACCTAATGATTAAACTCAATTACGGGATATCCTTGTTTAGTAGTATAAACACCGAATGCATTTTATCATTTGACGAAACATGTCTGAACTTTTAATGAAACTTTTATTAGTTAGATATTTTCAAATTCAATAATTATTTAATTTAATTTTTTATAGAGAACACCCCTACGTAAATTCCTGGATCTGCCACTGTCCCTTTTCATTTTTTTTTAATTTTTAAATGACATGGACGATCTAGTCAGCAGTGAGTGCTGACTCATTGATGGAGAAAATGATTGACCGTCAATTCTGATGGTCAAACCGCTTCTTAGGCCAAATTTGTTCAATAGTTTGAAAAGTAGGCCATAAATGTCTTATTGAAAAAATTGGGTCATAATTGTCAGTTACGCGAAACTTCGGGCCAAACTAGGGTATTAACCTTTATTTTAAAGCATATGCTACACATTAGTATGTAGACCTGTACTACCAATATATATATGTAGCAACTCGAAAATCTCGTTCGTTTGGGTGAAGGCTTTACATGTCTTGTAGTTATTGGCAATAAAACGCTTTACATATCAAGCAATATATCTTGCCCAAAAAAATCACGCGACACCCCAAATGCAATGTTGCAGAAGAACGACGACTTGCTTTGCGTCCATCACTGAGAAAATGGCAAATGAAGAAGAAAGAAGTTAAATTTATTGTTACTGCACATTGGTCCATTCTCATGAAAAAAGCGCAGTATACAACCCCCAACCAGTACTAGAGGTAGGAATCTCCTACTTAGCAGTGAAGCTAACAATCATAAGACGGGCTCTGGCTGCGAGCTCCATCTCATTTATAGTCTGTTGTTGCTGTAGTTCAGGTCTGGTAGTAGGTCCGTATCTTCGTAGTTGTCATGGTTGTAGAGGAAGGCGGGGCGTAGAGCCGCTGTGGAGCTTGAGATTGCTCGAAGTTGTAGCTCGATTGACGGTTGATGCCGAATCCTTCGAATCCGAATTTTCTCTTGGACATGGTTTCCCGAGATTACTCCAACGATGGAATGAGACCTTGAATTGATATTGAGGCCCAAAACAAACAGCTGCGCCACGAGCGAATAAACCCTAATTGACGGAAGTGGAGTTGAAGCGCTGATGAATTTTGATTTTCAGCTCAAACGGGCAGGTCAGTGACGGTGATTCGGATACTGAATTCGATCGGATCCGGATCCGGCAACTGAGAGTCCGTTATCAATAAGGTGCGTCGGTTTGGGATTGGGTTACGGTTAGGCCCATTCCTTTTTCGCAGACCTGGACCTATTGTTTAGCCCAGGAATAAGGCAGACTGAGGCCCACTCATCCAGTCATAT